TATTACTAAATGAAGCCAGTATGAAAAGGCTACATAGTAAATGGTTCTGACTACATGACACTCTGGAAAAGACAAAACTATGGAAACAGTAAAAAGATCAGTGGTTGTCAAGGGTTAGATGGAAGGGAGAGATGAATGGGAGCAAGCAGGGAAATTTTAGGACCGTGACACTATTTTGTATGACATTATAATGGTGGAAACATGATAGTAGATATTTATCAAAACCCAAAGAATGTACAACAGAGAGAGTGAACCCTAATATAAACTATGTATTTTGTTTAATAATAATGTATTAAGTTTGGCTCATCATATAACAAATGTATCACACAGTGAAGGATGTTAATAATAGGAGATTGTGCATATGAGAACTCTGTATTTTCTACCCAAGTTTTCTGAAAACTAAAACTGTTCTGTAAAAGTTTATTAATTTTTAAACATGAAAAATACTACATTCCAAAAGCTGTATGATGCATTTTGAGCAGTTCTTAGACAGAAATCTTTATCTTTACATATTTATATTGAAAAGGACAGTCTGAAAATTACCTGAGCACAGACAGCATCTAACTCCAAAGCCAGAAGCACATGGTACTCCACAGGGAGATGACAGCTGTGAGCGAGTCCCTGCTCTCTAGTTCCTAACAGATAGAAGTAGAGATGAGCAGTATGCTGCCAACTTCTCGCCAGTAAATGTTGTAAGTGCCTGAGAGGTGTGTGTGCTGGCTGCTCGAAGCACAGAAGAGAAGCACACACTGACCAGGTTCTGGGATGATTCCAGCAGAGGAAACACCCAAGCTGATCCTTGAGGCTAAGAAGCTTTAAGTAGAGAATGGTTTTTTCAAGCTGAAGGTCATTGCAGATTAACAACAACAAAGAATGCAGCAGTAGTATATATTAGAAAAACAATTAATTCCAGGTGTGTAATAAAAGCCTCATTTAAGGGAGGATCAGGAGAAAAGACAAGGAAGGTATGGGGGAAGGGTCACTAATAAAAGGTGTTGGTTGCGAAGCTAACACATTCGGTTTTATCATGAAGCTCACGAAGGGCCTCTAACAAATTTGAAGAAGAGGAAGTCACGTGATTGGCATTTACAAGCATCACTTTGTCAATAAAATGGAAGCAATGTGAGCTTCACAGGAAACAGATGAGAAGAGAACCTACAACAAAACTCCTAGGAAAAGCAGCATTGAAGCCTCCCCCACTGAGCTCAAAAGGAATGCAAAGGTTGCTGCCCATTATCATTAC